ATGATTTTTGGTAGAGTACTTGTTTTTATATAAACAAATATGAACCATTAATTACAGGTAAAATCATTCGTTTATATGTTGATTGTTATTTTAATAATTAAAACATAACCTATTATCCAACAAAAAACATTTTAAAACAATATAATTTTTTAAACACATATAGTATTTTTATAATATTTTAAAACACGTACATGCTGTTTAACTATGAATTTAAACAATAACACAAGTTAGACAGAGAAAAATGTATTACAACTTTGTCTATAGTACATTTTCATAAACGTAAACAATAAAAACTTAAAATAATTCAAATGTACCATCAATCGTAAACTATTATTTTGTTGAGTTGCATACCTGTTTAATTTTGCTATGAGTATTACCTATAATAAATTAACCTTTAAAACCACTACCAATAATATAATTATGGTACATTCAAATATAAAACATATTCCTAATTTATGTTTAACTTCACATAAACAGATGTTAAGGACTCTAATTAACTAGTGAGGTGTTTGTATATATTTTCAACTAGAATAACTCGATTTAGATCATTGTTGTGTTACAACGTATTATCTTTTTTAGTTAATACGTTTTAAGGCTACTAGCTATTGTTTAGAAAATAATAATCGTATTACCCACGAAACTGGTTCTGAAAAAGACATTCTCTTAACTATTTCAATTTGAGAAATTAATACAATAAAACTAAATAATAGGAAAAATTTGCAACCTGACTAGAGTATTTATATGCAGTTTAAAGAATAGGTGGTTTTGACTCAGAGTACAAATTCATTTTATAATGTAAAAGTTAGTAAAAAAGAACATATGTTCAAATTGGTCAACTTGAAACTAAAATGCCTATTAATCTGTTTATACTATTTTATACTAAATATGTACTGAGAGATTAAATTAAAATCGTTATTGATATGCTAGTTCAATATATTCAAACTGAAGTATGATTGCCAATGTATGATTATGAGCCAATCGGGTTTTAAAACCTTTTAATAATATGAAAATCATTCTTTACTTGTATAATTCAAATACATATCACCATCTTTATCTATGAGCCAAATTAAAAATGCACATTTTCTTGTATTTCTTATATCCATTCTCCTTTATGATTAAATCTTTCATGGTTTTACTATAATAATATTTTTACTATTAGATTACCTATTTTAATTTTCTCGTTTATTAATTTAGAATACGTATATTTTTCCATCCCTTCAGTTAGGAACAAATATCAGGTTAATTTAATCTTATCTAACTTTAATATAAATAATGTACCCAATGGTTTGGAACCCACATTAAGGTAATTGTTAGTTTATCCAGAAACTAAAATATAGAGGTCTTTCAGGGGTCTAGAACTCTATAGAAAAACTATTGAATTGGAATAACTATAACTATTAACTATTGAACTATTGATCTATTGAAGAACTCTGTCCATCAAAAATGCATATTACTGTGTAATTTAATTAACTTACAAAAAATATAATAATTATATTTTGAAACTGAAAATACGACAAATAGATATTCTTTAATCGACTAATATTTTCTGTGATGGTAGTTTGAATGTTTTAAGATAACACGTTAAAAGATCTTTCTAAGATTTTACCATTGATTAAAATATGAATGGATAAATAAATGTGTCAAAGGTAATTCTTAAGTTATGGGGAAACCTTAAACAACAACGTCGAATAGTAAAGAATTTAACTATTTTTATTGGTGTAGTAAACTCAAAACATGTGAAAGTTTGCAATCACAACAAAAGAAACAATTTAGTATTTCAATGTAGAGTTATTGAATAAAATTCATTATTTATGAATGTGACGTAAGAATGTAAACAATGTAAATGACCTTTGCGAGTAGTGAGTTAAGACGATTACGTGACGTCATGGTCGTGCGATCAGCTGTGCGGATGACCGGAACTGCTGACTCGACCGGATGATGACCGACTTGCGCAACAATGCTGATAGATCAGCTGTTCGAAGATATTATGTGACGTCATTCATAAATATGTGATTGTTCCAATCTAGGTTAACGGATTTTTGTTGTACATTTTATAATTGGAGAACTTTTTATCTATAACCTTTTTATGTGCTTTGCGATGTTTTAGTACGTACAGCTTAAAATACAAAGCAGCCCTTTGAAACTATGAGAATTTCAGTTGAATATGGCGGTTGATATTTTGGAATCCTTGTAGGGTAATCTGTTAAAGGTCAAATATGTGTACTTGATAAATTATTGTACTATCTTCGGATTTTTGGCTCAATAAAATTTCGTTTGTTTGACGTTCGTGGAAGACGGTTTGGTTTATTTATATGAATCCAAATAGCCAATATAAAAAATTATTTCTGTTGTTAAACGTTTGGCAAATTATTTTAGCACAAACTTTATTTAATTAAAACAAGTACTGTATTGAGACGGCAATATTTTTTTGTAATAACACTTTTAACATAATTTTCTTTAAAACAGATATATTTCTTCGAAAAGTATTAGTTTTGCTTGTAATTTCTTTAAATGTACAGTACAAAATATTGCACCCCTCCCTCCCAAGTTTCAAATTGTATAGGTCAATTTTCGTTAGTAAAATAATGTACACTTCACGCTAGGGCAACCAAGTAAACTATCTCATCTAAAATTAAAGCTTGTATCGTCCAGCTAACTTACGTTGATGTCGTTAACGATTTTACGTTAACATATAAACGTATTTACAAGCCACGGTAGACTCGCATCGTGACGACCGGATTATGCAAGAGTGTGGGAAACGGTCTGAACCCTAGAGTAGGTCACCTGCTGTACAGTATTGTGCAATAATTACCCTAGGGTCACCATGGACATGGATGATAAAATGCATTCTTGTCGATGTTTCATATGCGAGTATTATTGAACAAATTAATTTGTCTTACAGTTTGATTTGTATTTTTATCATTTTTTGTTTGTTTGTTTAATCATATGTGTTAAAAATATATATAGATTTTTTATTGAAATCCATTAAGTTATCCAGCGCTTTACCGTGATACTAGGATTGGACTTGGATACTTGTCTCAACAAAATAGTATTTTTTATATACAAAAACATATTATCGAATGAGTTTTCAACCACTGAACAGCTTAGAGCATCCAAAGAATGAATTCTACTATTTTTTGGAAGAATTAATTCTTTGATTTTGTTGAAACCAAAATGAAAAGTACGTTCTTCAGTTCCCACTACAATTAACAACCATTTGATTATAAACAACCTTGTTTTAGAAGGTCCATGCAGAGGTAAAACTGGTCTAGCCTATCTGTCCTGCATACCTAGTTTCGAATTACTCTGTGATACATTTCACATGTGAAAATAAACACAACTGTTTTTAGGTGTCACACGATAACATGAAACGTAGTCCGAAGCTCATCGTGAGTAGTATGCCAATCTACCAAAAAAAATCGATGACTTAGACAAACAACCCTCATTATATACAGATATATCTTCACGAGACGCAATGCTTTAACTTAAATACAACAGAGAGTGTATACAAACTATTCGCAAATCAAAATCACTTAATTAACCTTTATCACATTTCATTTCAAGGACCCCAAAGCAATGTCACCGAGTGACCTCGAGTTCCAAAACAGACGCCACCGTGACAATCCGTTCACAACCGGTCACAGGTCCAGTCACCGTTGCGCAACTGTTACAGTAACCGGTTCCAACTGTGTCACTAGGGCCCTGTTTTTGTTCGTTATTACGTTACAGGCTCATTAAACCCCTACAAGGAGTATAGAGACCGCGCTAAACGCTCAATCATAGACTGTGAATGTTCCATTTGTAGAGCGGGTTTTGTTGTGATTGTAGTTTGTTGGCAATCGGTTAGCCTCTCTTGGGCTCTCTCCACGGGTGGTATTGCATATTAAGGTCAAGTTTAGTGAAACATAATTGCTGAAACTTTGTGCTTGTATTTTTTATGTAAAATATGTAAGAGGTTATAACAAGATTGTGTTGTTAATCGTCATGAAAGAGGGGTAAGGAATTAACCTAACTGCTTGAAAATTTTGTAAAAAAATATTTACACGTTTAGTAATTTATTTACAAGACCATAACCAAAAAAAGACTTAACTTTTTAACTATATTTTGGACAATAATACTGGTCGTTGGATACTAGATTAAATATCGCCTCAATTTAAACCAGATGTAGTAGTTTTTTAAATTTCTTTTTAGTTGAACGAACTGTTTGGGGGTTGCAACTGTACAATTTATGTATTCTTGGATTTTTCTTAGTTTTTTTACGATATTTCTAATTTATAAATGTTGTGCTATTAAATTGTTTACAATTAAATATTCTGATAAAATGACACACTTAAATGAAACCAGTTCCGGAATCTGAATCCCAACTATAGACATTACACCCATGTATTTTACTAACCTAGTTTAAACCAATGTTCAAGTTTGAGTTTAGAAAGTGCACGTCCTTGTCTTCTTATACAAGGTTCTATGTAAACTAAACTCCAGAGGTCTTTAATCGTCGTAAATCTTGTGATAAACTGGTGATGTTCTTAAACGTTTTGATAACTTCTAATGTTATCGAAAAATTGTCGTTGATTTACTTATCATTTAAACCTTTTATTATTTAGAGATTTAAAACTGAAAAGTGCATCACATTTGGGTACTATTATATTCCTTGTTACTAAATGCTGATACGAAAGCATATTTAAAGGCAGAAATAGTGAAGGATGAGTGTTGATTTAAGGATATGACAGTTATGTTAGTGTCTTAGATTAGCTTTTTCTTCATCCAAGAACATTTTGTAAAACTTCAACAATCTAGGAAAAGCTAGGTCCAGTTTTGAAACGTCAAAGATGTCTTGAATTTCATCAGATCAAACTCACAACTCTCTTAGAGTAGACGAGCATTATAGTGTGTATGATGGATCCTGTCTCCTGTCCCTCCATCTACCTGTGGACTGACCAATAGTTTAAGGCCCGGGCCAGTCCATATCCAGTGAGCTATAATCATGATCTCTGTGTCAGGTTGGTGTCGTGTTGTTGGCAGCCCTCGCCCTTGCCGAGGAGGCGAAGAAGACGGAAGAAGTCAAGAAGACAGAGGATAACAAGGACTCCAAGACAGAGAAGAGAGGACTTTTTGGTCTGGGCTATGGATATGGCGGGTATGTATCTCTTGTTTTCAACATACTTAAAAAAATAAAAAGTATCAGTAAAATTTTGATCTATTTCAGAAGTTATTCCTTAATATTTTGATATTTTGTAATCCATTGGCATTTTCAATTTTGTTGTTGTTGTTTTTGTGTATTTTTTATTGTTGATAGCACGAATCAATCCACCAACTCTTAAGATCAAAATTTTTAACGGTATTTCATCATTCTACGTTACATTTGCATCTATATCTCAAATAGTATTTGATTTTAAATTACCAAAATAAATATCACTTTAGTATACTAATTTACAACAGCAAATTTCACCTTTAACATTTATTTGCAGACACCTTTTTTTATAGGAAACTCTTAGATTGGTGTGCTATATTAAAACGTGTTCTCTATACAAACTCCTATCAAAAATATGTTTAACTCTGGGTATCTAAAAATCATAATATTTGACCAGTTAATTCTATTTGGTGTACAAAAACAATTTCTTGGATATAATACTTTTGTATTAACAAATCACACCCTTAAAATATTTTTTCATTCATGGAACTTCTAGTATGGAATGTGATATTAAAATAGAATTTCCGATAACGAACCATCAAATAAAACTACTAGGTACAGCACAAAAACATAAATATTTACAAGATATACTCCAATCCATATAACCTGTTTGAATGTACTAGTCTCCTGACCATTCTTCGTCTTTCTAGAGACTGGCATCACTGGTTTAAGGCCCAAGTCAGACCTAGGGTCACAAGACAGGATCTACCATACAGGCTATAGTAGTAAATATGAGTAGCGCAATAAGGTTTCTTCCTTACTCAATGAGTCGCTATGTTCTAGATACGGTAGCTACGGAGGTTACGGTCTCGGCCAAGGATACAGTCTCGGCCACAGCTCTCTGCTCAGCGGCTACGGTGGTGGATACGGTGGAAGCTACGGAGGCTACAGCGGTGGATACGGCCTAGGAGGCTACGGTCTGGGAGGTCTCGGCTACGGTAGCTACGGTCAAGAGGGAGTCATCAAGGCTGTCACCATCCACAAGGAGGTTGCTGTCCCTGTACCACAACCGTACCCCGTCCACGTGGAGAAGAAGGTGCCTTACCCCGTCAAGGTATGTTAATACAGAGTGTTTACACAGAAATGTATACAAGGCCACGGTTAAAGCGTGGCCCAAATTACTGGTACCGAGAGTCACTGTTTATGGGCAAAATAAGCTTAAAAGTTGGTAACCCTTTTTTCTTAACTTCATTACGGATCAGCTGATCTGCATTATTATTGCTAGCATTGTAAATGCTGTTGGGAAATTATTCTGGAAAACTTTTAAGATGGTTGCGTCTTAGAGAAAACCACGTAGTCTTTTTCACAATAAATTTCAAAAAAAATTAACCGTGCAGTCAACAATGCAAAAATTTAAATCACCTGATCGATTTGTACAAACAAACTTATCGATGAGGATTCTGAAAGAATATGTTGCATTGGTCTTTTTTGTAGACCGTAATAAGCTTGATTGTAGATCTTTCAAATTTTTTCCATGTATTGATTGGAATATTTTAATGAGTTTAAGTAGAAATCCAACACACAATTTCACAACCAGTGTTTATGATAATCCCCACTAAATTTAAAAATTCAATATTATAAATATATTAAAATATTATTTTCCCCACAGGTTGCTGTGCCATACCCCGTCGACCGCCCCTACCCCGTCCACGTACCCAAGCCATACCCCGTTCCTGTAGAGAAGCCCGTGCCATACCCCGTCGAGAAGCCAGTGCCTTACCCCGTGAAGGTTCCAGTCAAGGTACCTGTTGCACACCCAGTGCCTTACCCAGTGCCTAAGCCCTACCCCGTCCACATCGAGAAGAAGGTACCTTACCCCGTACCCCAGCCTGTGTACGTCCACAAGCCTGTCCCCGTGTACGTGAAGAGCCACGACTACGAACACTACAGCGGCTACGAGACTCCCAGCTACGGCGGCAGCTATGGTGGAAGCTACGGCAGCTATGGAGGTTATGAAGGCAGCAGCTACGGCAGCTCCGACCACGGTTACAGCTCCTACCACTAAAACATCCAAGACAATCTCACCGACCAAATTGGGTACCCACCCTAGACTACCTGTTTTTATTGTATTATTTTGTAAATAAATGTTACAAATTTCTATAAATTGGCTTTTTGTCTACCTTTGTAAGTGTGATGTATATTGAATAATACTTTTATGAAAAGAGTTTGAACCAACTGAAATGGTTTATTTTAGCAAAACTACGTTTAAAAGAATGGATTTACAGGACTAAAAACACAATAATTTAACATAAATAACAATATTGAACTAACAGCGGTTTTATACAGTAAAAGGAAATTAGTAAGCTCACATAAATACCACCCCTCTTTTATCACCCCTCTTCACTATTCATCACTATTCTCCCCCTGTTCCATTGAGAAGATACGCAGGGGTCTTCTTACCTTCTTCTTCCTCTTTTTCTCTTCTTCTACTTCTTCTTCTTCTTCTTCTTAGTGACGTTTTGAGTCCAGAGAGTATCCCTACTGGACTGTTTTAGGACTATGTCCTCGTCCCACTCACGCTTCCTGGTAGAGTAAGATTAGTTGGAATAATTTAATATACAGTTAAACTTTTCTTTCCCCATTGGCTTCAGAAGAAATGTACACCTAAAAAGGCAATTTAATGTGTTAATTGATTTATTTCTATGTCTATATCTGTAAATGAGCCTTACTTTGCATAATTGTAATTATATACGTCTGAAGTGGAATGTCTAAAAATAGATCATCAAAAAGGAATTCAGTAGAGTTGCTAATTTCGTATAAAGCTTATACAAACATCAACAGACTTAGTTTAAAACTGGACCTAACCATGATCATTGGTAATTTATAATTGGTCAGATTCAAATACACTGCATTGTGTGTTGTCTCAATGTGATAAGTGATATTCATAAATGAAGACAATCAATGATACTATACACTTCCAATAGGTTACATAAAATAGTTATATCTTATTTTTTTTATTACTATTATTTTTCAATCAAATGTGTTTGTCTGGGCTTGAATCTCTCACAGACCTCCACACCTTCTAAACTACGCCAATTCGTAGAGAGCTCTCACATTTCAACAAGCAAGAAAGTCATTACATAAAACCTTCATAAAACATTTTGATGATTCGGAAAGGAACCAGCTTTCCAGTGTTGAAATGTGTTCTTCCTGCGGGCGATTGTATAACCTTGCGACAAGAGGCACGCGTCTTTAAACTTCGACATTGACGACGACCTACTTAGTCTTCCGTGCACTGCTGCCAAAACACGGGTGCAACTTTTACAACAAACAGCTGATTACGACATCACCATTGTATTTAGTGGACGTCTCTAATGATAGACTCGTGTATGTTTTGTTTTTTTTACTAAGCTCTAGCCGTAGCCCGTGATTGACTTTTGAATTAAGCCTAGAGGTTGCGGCATCCATTAGTGATTAGCCGGATTTGAACCCGGGATTTCAAGGACCAAAATCTCATGCTCTACCAGTCCTGATCCCTTATCATGTTTAATTCTGGAACACAGTAGGAGCCTTAATCCGGGAAATAATTTGACAGTGAACTGTTAAACAAATTAATTATTTTCAAGGTCAAATGTTTAGTTGAGTTTGATTGAAGTATAAATTCAAAATGTGTAAGTTTTAAGCCTCTTAAAGTGGTCTTCAGGCGAACTCAAATTTTTGAAGTGGTCAAGAGTTAGGCCCACTCTAATTACCAAAGCCCTTCTTTATATTGAGTCAAGATAAATTTATATACATCAATGACGGGCTGAAAGGGTAAAACTTACGACACTTGTGTTAAAATAATTAATGAGAGTGGAGTTCAATATATAACGTTAAGAATGACAGGATACAGTGATTAAAAGAAAGGTTGTGAATTAATTAGGCAATAATTGCAATGGATAAATGAATTAAGCAACATGCAATACCACTAGGCTGAAAAGGTCGCCAGTTCGATTCTGTGAAAAGTCAGTAGCTTCTTGATGATTCAAAACTGGAACCAGCTGTTCCTTATTATTCATCTTTAAATGAATGATCCTGGCTAATGAAACAGCTGAACTTAGTCAGTAACATAGCTACACATCCCACGCCATTCTACACTCATTCTTCAATCATATTTGGGTTAAAATACGCACCTAGGTACTGTACCCAACTCAATGATTTAGATTGATAGATTAATCCTAGTGGCTGCATCCTTATTTGTCTGCAGTTTGACCCCCAGAATTGTCTAACTGGAGCAACCTGCAGTTACACCTTTCTCTGCTAGGTCGCAGCACCTACCCACTCTGCCCAGCTAAGGAAAAGTGCCGTATGTCCAAAATTTGATAAATTGGGATTAATATGTTTCTACATTTAAATTTTCACAAAGAACACGCTGGACTAGTCAAAAATGCCGTATCTGCAGCCGTTTTAAAGATATAAGCATGGTACTGATCGTATGTACACTGAATTTGAGGCATTTACTAAACAAAACTGCCGTAAGTACATTCTACTAATCAAAAGAGCAGTATCTCCACTGGATTTACTGTCTTCTAGCTTAGCAAAATCACATACTGCATTTATGCTTAGTAGTTTCTGAAGGAATAAGTTACTTACGGCATTTTTCTGATTTATTATGTATTGATCAGTTGTTAGGCAACATTTAAAGATGAATTCAATTAAAAAAAAATAGAAAAATACTTTACTTCATAAAAAAGGTTACACTTCAAATTGCCAATTTCTGTAGGTTGATTAATTTTTTTATGTTAACAGACTTTACTTTGTTATACCGGTACTTATATTTTTTTCTCTGGTAAGCATTAGTGATTGTTACAATAAAATAGTTAAATTTAGATCAGGCTTGTCAGAAAAGTTTGAAAAACCTCTGTTCCACATTTTTTTAAATAATAGATTCTAGATTCAAGAGGCCTAACAATTGTCATAGTGTAAACTGAAACCTGTCTTACTGTGACTACTTTTTGTCATGTTATCGTACTTTACTTCATTATACAATTAATTATTTTTTCATATATATATAAAATTGTAATAATATATGAAATAAAAATTTACATTTTTAACATTAATGTAATTTTTAAGTTAAAAAAACTTCTGTTCAGTTTTTAAAATGTATTCCTCATTTTGGTAAATAATAGCCATTACCATATTGTTTAATTTAACTGAAACCTGTCTTGCTATGACTAGTTACGGTAACTTTACCTCATTATACCATTAATTTTTCATTCAAAATTCCTTAATGTAATTTTGTATTACTTTGTTTTTCAACCATACAAATGTATTTTTGTGTTATTTCAGAAGTCCCATTACGTATTATTTACAACCCTAAGTACCTATAACATTTTGAAAGTTTGCATAAAAATATTTTTATTTATTAAAAATTGCCTATAAACAAATATTAAATAATTTTTAGAACAAATACTGGTGATTAATTAGAACACTATTCCTTTATGAAAGCTTTCCTTGTTACTTACGGCACCCTATCTACAAATAAATACATATGTTACTTAGCATAACTGCCGTATGTACGACATGCCTTTTTATTATCATTTTATTAACTTATTTAATATCAAGAACAATCAAATTAACTTGCCACATTTATTCTACATTAATGTATCTACCAATTGGTAAAAATAAAAATAAAATAGGACTAGAGGGAAACATTCAGCAATATAGTGAACTTTGAATTGAGTTTTCTCAAAATCCACTTTTTGTTACTTACGACACTTTTGGTTAGCTGGGCAGCACTGCCCTTAACAATGTTGTACACCTATTAAATAAATCTTAAATTCTAAAATATAAAAAGAAAAGTTAGTTGGCAACAAATTCTGTATATTGCTTTTACATTTAGTTGTTTTATTTTACTTGATATTTGGCTATACCTGGGCTACATACAACTGTATGGTGTATCAATATTACAGTAATAATAACGTTAGTCCCATATATCAATATGGTATGCAATTTTGGATTTCACAAAAACTTTATTGATTTATTTATAGGTGGTAATAGAGTATTATAATGGATGTTAAAATTACGAAAGTGCCACAGTACCATATTACAGTAGTTTCTTTAAAAATTAAAGTCTGGAATTAAATGTTTTAGTTTATTTCTTTATACATCACTGCTTTGCTATTGAGGCGATCAATTTTTTTTCATTAGACAAATCCTCTCGTCATATTTTAATAGTTTTTAATCTGGCGAACCTCCGTTCACATATCTATTAATCTATTGGAATAAAATTATTCAATCTTAAGCTATATGGCTTTTGTTATTGCATATCATGTATGAATGTTCGTGATAATATTAGACTATCCCATCGATATATAAACACATCCTAGCCATACGTTTTCAAATACTGTAACATATTAGTTTGTATACAAGGTTTGATAGATTTAAAATTGTATGAATTTTGGACCCCTGAGTTTAACATTCAATAATATATTTTTCGGGAAAAAGATAACTATAATCTATTTTCTATTAGTATATCGTGTAACTCTTCGTCGCAATAAAAATAACGATTAGAAAAAAGTTAATGTTTCCGCCCAGGATCGAACTGGGGACCTTCTGCGTGTTAGGCAGACGTGATAACCGCTACACCACGGAAACTTGATTCGGGGTCAAGTTGTTTGCCAACTTGACAGAACAGAAGTTGGGCGCCGACCAAGAGGTGCGAGTCGACATATCTCACACTAACATAAGGAAAGGTCTATTTCGAACTAGTTTTGAATAGCAATTTAATTATTACAGTACTAGTTTTACACAAAACAAGAGTTTAATGCAATGTCGAAAGTTTCATGGTATGGTTTGATCCTGAGGGTGGTCAGTAAAATTTAATGGTTCAGGTATTTAAAATTAATCAGTGTAGATATTTAATTGAACTATTAGTCTAATCGCCTTTTTGCAATTAATCGCCATGTTACATTTGATTTTCTAATTTCACAGCATTTTTGTATTTTGAAGCTCACTAGAGTGTTCGTTTTACAAGTAAGCCGGCTTGGATTTTACATAGCAGCAATATTAGAATTTATTTAGAAACCTTTAAAATCCTTGGTAAATGGAACAGATGAACATATTACAATAGTCATCCATGGCCAATAGTTTTATAATCATTATTATCAATCAAGATAGGGGACA